AACGGGACATGCCAAAAAAACAGAACAAGAACGGATTAGCGGAACCGTTGTTGTTGTTGCTTGTTGTTTTTCTGGAAGGTACGCGTCTTTTTTCGTCTTTTTCACTTGCGTTTACTTACGAGGAATGTATGTGAAGGAGTTAGAATTGCACGCAATTACGTAGTTAAATAAAATAAACCAGTGGTTTAAAAGTAATACCTATACGATTCCCAGGTAAGTCTGTCGCAGACCATTATTTATTTAATCAGTGAGAGTAAAAACAAGTTAATGTATATTAAAAAAATGGAAAATACAAGATTCCCAAAAAAACACGTGGCGGAAAAAAAATAGCTGTGAAAAATTTTTATTTTTGACGTGAAAAACAACAAATGATGCATATAAATAAACAAATGAATGAATCTGTGAAAAAATTGGAAAATCTTATTGAGTGCTAAGTTCCTTGGGACCAAAAATAAGATATGTTTGTTTTTATAACTTATGATTTTTTGTATTAATAACATTAAAGCACAATTTTTATTTTTGTGTAAGTAAACAAACATGGCTAATTAAATAAAAATCTCAAACATCTCTAATTTTCCGTTCCTGGAAAAGTGGTATTTTTTCCGCATCTGCAAAATAAATAAATGATTTAATAAATAATAAAAAAAATACATAAATAATTTTTTACAACAAAATAAAATAAATCAAGTGACCGAAAACAAAAGTTTGCAAATTTCTTCTCGATATTTTTTTCATTTTCTTATATTTTTAGACAAGGCTAAAGGTAAATCTATAAAAAAAATGGAAGGCTAAATCGTTCCATCTTAAGCATATTATCCGAGGAACTTGTTCTGTCCCACAACTTACTTATTAAGTAAGTTTTTATTGAGGCTGAAAGTAACTATTGTTTGTAAGTTTAATTTTTAAAAGACTTCTGGGATTTTTACATTGAATGCCAAAGATAACATTTCTTTTATTATAAATAAATCTTACAAATAACGATTACTTTCGGTCACTCGTTTTTATTCTCGTCTTGTTTTATTTTTAAAACTAATTTTTTTCTAATACTAGATGCAATCGCCCTGGTGGATCCCTCGGAGCCTCCCGAAAAGGCGCTGCAGAAGGCAATGCGGTGCGTTAAAAACTTGAGTTGTACCAAAAAAAAGGCAACGCCGGCACCAGATACTGAGGAGGTGCCAGCGACCCCGATAACACCGGAAACCCCCGAGCTCAAATTTTAAAATAAACAAATAAAAATAAAAATTACAACTGAAATTTTTTTTGCTGCTAAGCGCTCAACGTGCGTTGAAAGTGCGCTTTTTCGCTGCTTGAATGAGCGCTCAACGTGTGCTGAATGTGTGCTTTTACCGGTGCTTAATCGAGCGCTCAACATGTGCTGAATGTGTGCTTTTTCCGCTGCTCAATCGAGCGCTCAACATGTGCTGAACGTGTGCTTTTTCTGCTGCTCAAAAAAGCGCTCAAAACGGTGCTCAAAAAAGCGCTCAATGCGTGCTATTTTTTGAGCACTGATGAACCCTAGGACATGCCTATGTTAATTTAAGCACTTAGTTCCATACAAATTGTGGGCTCATTGAGCACTTAGTGATGAGCTTTTTGCAGTGATTGAGTGCTCAATAAGCGCTGAATGGTACTGCAGGGTACCCACATTTCGTCCGCGCCTTATTAAGTAAGTTTTTATTGAGGCTGAAAGTAACAATTGTTTGTAAGTTTAATTTTTAAAAGACTTCTGGGATTTTTACATTGAATGCCAAAGATAACATTTCTTTTATTATAAATAAATCTTACAAATTACTTTCGGTCACTCGTTTTTATTCTCGTCTCGTTTTATTTTTAAAACTAATTTTTTTCTAATACTAGATGCAATCGCTCTGGTGGAGCCCTCGGAGCCTCCCGAAAAGGCGCTGCAGAAGGCAATGCGGTGCGTTAAAAACTTGAGTTGTACCAAAAAAAAAGGCAACGCCGGCACCAGATGCTGAGGAGGTGGTGCCAACGACCCCGATAGCACCGGAATCCCCCGAGCTCAAATTTTAAAATAAACAAAAAAAAAGAAAAAATTACAACTGAAATTTTATTTGCTGCTACGCACTCAACGTGTGCTGAATGTGCGCTTTTTCGGTGCTTGAATGAGCGCTCAACGTGTGCTGAATGTGTGCTTTTTTCCGCTGCTTAATCGAGAGCTCAACGTGTGCTGAATGTGTGCTTTTTCCGCTGCTTAATCGAGCGCTCAACATGTGCTGAACGTGTGCTTTTTTTGCTGCTCAAAAAAGAGCTCAAAAAAGCGCTCAATGCGTGCTAGTTTTTGTGCACTGATGAACCCTAGGACATGCCTATGTTAATTTAAGCACTCAATTCCATACAAATTGTGCGCTCATTGAGCGCTCAGTGATGAACATTTTGCAGTAATTGAGTGCTCAATAAGCGCTGAATGATACTGCAGGGTCATTACTCCACAAAACCAAATACAAAATTCAAGGTCGCAACTGCTGTGCAAAAGCAAATCGTAAAACGGCCTCCTTGATTTTTATATTAAAACACTTAAAATCGTTTAAAAGCTTATTCGTTTTTATAGAAAAACAGGAAACATTGCAATTTAATTACAAGAGAGCTAACCATTTCAGCGGACCTGAGTTCTTAAGGGGGGCACTCTATGAAATGGGTTCAAAAATTCGATTTTTTTTTATTGCTTTAATCGATAGATATATTATCTGAGAACATAATTGCAAAGTTTCAAAGTCGAATTCCTATTACTTTCGGAGATATAATTTCTAGAATTTGCTCGTGCATAGTCATGCCAGGTGTCCTTGAACTATCTTTTTTTCTGAACCTAAACTTTGAAGCGCGTTTTCTCAAAACCACGTTTTTAGAGTCCGTCTTCACGATAAAAAAAAAACCATTGAACCGATTTTCAAAAATGAACACTCATTTTGTAGGATATTGAACAGAGAAGTGCATGAACCACATAAATGCATGAAAAAAAAATTTTTTTCAATGTTTTTTCAATAAAAACAACAGAGCAAAAATTCACTTTTTTGTTTTTATATGGTTTTGTTGCTAATTTTAAAAAATTTCAATAGTTTTTGAGGTTCATGCACTTGAGACAAGCCTGCTGATTAATTTAATATATAATTTGTATGTTTCAGACTTCAACTTGAGACGATATCGTGAGGACGGGGAGACAACTTTTTTAAAACCAGCCGTGGGCGATGTTCAATATGTCCGCCATTTTTAATTTTTTTTACAAACAAAACCTTGTTTTCTTAACTTCAGACTTATGTCTAAAGATATTGTAAACGGGAATATCCTGTGTTTTTTTGGTTGATTTACAATAAAAAGAAGAAAACCGACAATCTTTTCTGCCGTTTCATAGAGTGCCCCCCTTAAGAAATCGCGGTCAATAGAGGGTAACTTTGTTTCGCGATTTAGATATGTACATATACATATATGTATTACTTTAAATAAATTACATATTTACTTTAAATTTTAATCCCAATTGGTGGCGGATTTTAAAAACTTTTTATAGCCTTGCAGAGGGTATATTGATTTCAGTCAGAAGTTTGCAACGCAGTGAAGGAGACGTTTCCGACCCCATAAAGTATATATATTCTTGATCAGCATGACAAGACGAGTCGATCTAGACATGTCCGTCTGTCCGTCCGTTTCTACGCAAACTAGTCTCTCAGTTTTAAAGCAATCGGGCTGAATCTTTCCCAAAAGTCTTATATCTGTTGCAGGTAGTATATAAGTCGGAACCAGCCGGATCGGACAACTATATCTTATAGCTTCCATAGGAATAATCGGAAAACAATTTTTAAAAAATTATATCTTTGGTGTTTTGAACATATAACCTCCTAAGCTTGGAAATAACATTTAACAATTAGTTTTGAATTTCGAATTAAATTTTATCAAAATCGGACGACTATATCATATAGGAACGATCGGAAAATTGGTGGGAAAATAATATGAAACAAATTATAGCTTCGGTGTTTTTTAACATAACATTCTACGCTTGGAAATAACATTTTTAACTAGTTCTGAAATTCGAATTTAATTTTATCAAAATCGGACGACTATATCATATAGCTGCTATAGGAATGATCGGAAAATTGGTGGGAAGATAATATGAAACAAATTATAGCTTCGGTGTTTTCTGACATATATACTATTGGGAATACCATTTTTTGTACTTTTAAATTTAATAGATATAACTGCAAGGGTATACAAGCTTCGGCTTGCCGAAGTAAACATCCTTTCTTGTTAAATTTAATAAATATATTTGCAAGGGTATACAAGCTTCGGCTTGCCGAAGTCAACTTCCTTTCTTGTTAAATTTAATAAATATAACTGCAAGGGTATACAAGCTTCGGCTTGCCGAAGTCAACTTCCATTCTTGTTTAACATATAACCTCCTACTCTTGGAAATAACATTTTTTAATTGGTTCTGAATTTCGAATTTAATTTTATCATAATCGGACGACTATATCATGTAGCTGCCACAGGAACGATCGGAAAATTGGTGGGAAAATAATATGAAACAATTCAAAGCTTCGGTGTTTTTTGACATATTATCCTATACTATTGGGAATATCATTGCTTATATTTTTAAGAATTTCGATTTAAATATAATAATTATAACTGCAAGGGTATACAAACTTCGGCTTGCCGAAGTTAACTTAATTTCTTGTTTCGGTTTATAAATCGTCTTTTTCATTAACCAAGTTTTTATTTTAAAAAACCTTGTGGTTTGAGCCATGTAAAAGTTATTTTGTGCCCCACTGGGGGACATATCGTATCTTCATGCGCACCAACTTATGTACATATGTATGTATGTCGGTGTCTATGGCCTGTAGCGCTGTGCGCTGATACTCTTAAATTCTAATGTTGTATTTTGTAGATTTTGGCATTGTATGCACCAACATTACTTATCACCAAAGGCTTTGAACCTTTGCAAGAAAAGAAAACAAGCAGGATACATTTTCCGCAATAAAAATAACAATCGAAAATTGCAGCGTTGAATAGAAAATCATTTAATTTACTGCTGAACAAACAAATTCCAAGGCCACAAACAAAATTCGATTAGGCAATGAATTCGTATGGAATTGGAGCCAGAGCGATAGGTTCCTCCAACTTCTTAACGAAGTGCGCCTTCTTTGGATGTTCGGGCTGGCGCTTCAGGCTGACCCATTGTCCCTTTCCCTTGGCCTCTTTTAGTAAGCGCTCGTTTTCCTTAACGCGACGCAGGAAATCCTCCCGGCACTTGGAGTGGTGGATGTGTTCGATGCGTACATTAACACGCTTGGCAAGTATCTTACCGCGTACACGCTTATTTACAATAACACCAACAGCGTGCTGAGTTACATTAAAAATGCGCCCAGTTTTGCCGTGGTATGCCTTGTAGGGCAAACCCTTCTGTACGGCGCCATGTCCCTTAATGTCCACGATGTCTCCAATCTTAAATACTCGCATGTAAGTAGACAGTGGTATGACACCATGCTTTCGGAAGGGACGAGAGAACATATCACGTGTGCCACGGCGGTAGCCCTTTGAGTTCGTCATTTTGTTTGATGTTCCCTACAAAAATAATTACTTAAGTAGATATAAGACTTAATCCCATGCAAGTTTTCCAGCATCAGATATAATAAACCCACTAACCTTTATGAATCGACGTCCACGCTGCGTGAAGTTGGTAAAAGAAAGAAAGATGGCTACATCTGTAGAGTTGCCACAGAGCTCAGTATTTTTCACATTTATTTAAAGATGCAGGTTATAAGGTCTTCTCACTAGCCACAATCTGAACTTTGGATTGTCCATACATTTTTGCCGCTTCGAAAATGTAACGTAGACAGTAAGACAATGGTACATGCATTGCGCGTTAACTTTGAAGGCATCGATCACATTACAATGATTAATATTTTTCGACTAGTGAAACTCTTAGCCTATCTGAGTACTAGGCTTAACGCTTTTTGTTGGGTCTGTTTGTCAGTGCGGTACTCAAATTAGCAAAATCATATTCTTTGTTGTGTGACCGAAGTTTTGAAAGTTCAGCCGCAAAGCTTGTAAAATGGTCTTTCTGTCAAGCAGCTGGGTTTGTTGCCAATCTTCGCCATCTTTCCCGCGCCACCGCAGTCCAGCTCCGAGTCACATTGGGCATATTGGGCCTTGAGGAAGTGGAAGCCGGATTTGGAACGGGGTTGATCCGCTGATGCTGCAGAAAGTCGCCCAGCATCCTGGCAATGTCTGGTTATGTCTTCTCCAACTGTTCCTTAGCGGGCGCCCTATTTTCCTCATCCCTATAGAAGCCAGCGCGTCCTCCATCTCCGCTTTAGCTGTCAAGTAGCTGGTGGAGGTGGAGTCCTCAATGCAGAGCTCTTCGGAGATCGAGCAATGTCCCATGTTCCTTCCCACTGGGATTCTCTAGTGGATCTCCTCCAGCTCTTCAACTATTCTCCGAATTTGCCCCGTTGTGGTATTGCTTCGTGTCGGTCAAGTCCCACAATAATGGGCAACAGCTTGAATTAGGCGTCCTTTTTCATCTGCACTGACCTCCTTTAGCCGTTTTTAGTGTTTTTCTTCCCTTTTTAATTTTTAAATTCCTCACCGCCTCTGCACGAACGCCGCCAAAGATTTTATTTCTTATTCTTTGGGCCGCGGCTAACGGCGTTCATAGAAAATTTACTCGCGAAATGTGGTATTTTTTCTGTTATTTCCTTAGCTCATCTGAGTACCGCGGTGAAGAACGGACCCGACGAAAAGCTTTAGCCGCCTGTTTGCTTCTCGATCACTCCTATGGTTAGCTCGCGGCTTTCGTCGATGTGAGTACTAGGCTTTATGCTTAGATAATAGTTGCAAGCTGGCTTGGAAGTCCCTGCGGGACACCCTAAGGAACCACAACAAGGAGATCCACTGGAGAAGCCGAGTGGGCATGCCAAGTGGGCATGCCGAGTGCGAATTTGATCCGTGCATGGACTTCTTGCCGGACGTGTCCTCGCAAAGAAGGTAGGTTCTGGCCAAAAAAATTTGGTTACGTTGCACTAATAATTTCAATTATTGCAAAACCACCAGTAGTGGATTGAAGAGTCACTAGACTCCAACACCATCAGCTTCTTTGCAGATGGACGACTTCCTGCAGCATCAGCGTGACAGCCCCGTTTCCACTCTATCAGGGCCCATATTGGCTATTTGGGAAGGGCAGCTAAACACCATGCATCCGGAATATGTTACCAAGTTGGAGGAGAAGATAACGAAGCTTCTGCGGGACGAGAAAGAATCCCTAAACTACTTATATAGATAAATAAAAACTTCCGTTGAACATTCAAATTATTTTTATTTTTATTTCTTAATACACAAGCAAAGACGTCTTGCCACCGTACTTCAGAATATCCAGCACTACTTTTCAGATATTCCAAAAAATTACGCAGAGTACAAAAGGCTGCAACAACTTTTAGAGACTTGTTCTTATTGCTCAGCAAAGTACTTTGTACAGCCATCAACCTTGCACTGACAATTCCAAATGCGTCCTCAATGCAACGAAGAGCACGACTCAGCGTATAATTAAGGGAACGTTCTCTTTGTTTTGGTCGAAATGAAGGCAAAGTTCGTCAATTTTTTGTGGGATAATGAAAAGGCGTACGAACTTCGGGTTTTGCTTTTTGAATTCGTTTATTATTCAAGATTTTTTTAAAATTTATTTGATGGTGAAATTCAAAATGGCGGCTGCAAAATGGCGGCTTTCGTCTGCCTCCGCGCGGCAAACATCGTCCAAAAATTCCGAGCCTGCAGCCTCTTGTAGTCAACTCAAATAGAAAATTGTTATCATTAGTTAAAGTTAATATACTTTTGTAAGGCACTAACCTAATGGCATCAAATTGCGGCCATAAATTGACCGCGTAATGAATGTTCGAATTTTAAAGTTCGATTTTCGTACATTTTTTTTCAGTTAAACCACGTTGAAAAATTATAAATAAATTATTGTTTATTTCCGGAGTAGCTTAGTGCCCAATAAAAAAGCATATACTTTCATAAAAATTTTACATGAAGCAAATCGGTTCACAGGATGAAGCTGTGGACGCGGAATTTTTTTGGAAAACATGGTTTCGAGAAAAACGCGTTTAAAGTTTTTTAAAAGTACGCAGCGCGCGTGACGCAGGTGTATTCGAGACGCTCTCATTCACAAACTATTCATCGTATCGAAAAATCCTTTCACACACATACTCTACGGATATGTGGCTTTTTTTGATCCAAAACAAAGAGAACGTTCCCTTAAAGATGCGCTCATTCCGATGCAAGTCCTTGCTTTATAGCACGATTATGATCGAGAATTGCATCATCGCCGATAATATATGTAGAAGAGATTTCGATTATGACATTGTAATCCGTTTTCCAAGCGTATTGTGGGACAAATCGAATTAAGTCCCTACATTACAACAGGTTTACTTATTTAATTATCTTCGAAATTTAAAAGTACATAAGGGATAAGATACTGCTCTGATTATGATCGAGAATTGCATCATCGCCGATAATATATGTAGAAGAGATTTCGATTATGACATTGTAATCCGTTTTCCAAGCGTATTGTGGGACAAATCGAATTAAGTCCCTACATTACAACAGGTTTACTTATTTAATTATCTTCGAAATTTAAAAGTACATACCTAACAGTTGTAAAAAAGGATTCCGCTACTAGCAGCAATAAATCTAACAAGGAATATTAAATCACATTATTTAAATACTATTATGGTATTTGAGAATTGACATATGTGTATATATATTTTAATTATTGAGCGGTATGGCATCTGGCCGAGTGTCCGTTTCGGGATAAGATACTGCTCTACCAATCCAAAGAGCGCGTTGAAACCGCTCTCCGGCATAACAAGTTTTCAAAGAACATTGATGGCGTGTTGACCAAGACCTAAAACTTTAAGATAGAAGAAAATGCTCATAAGTGCAGGGGTACTAATATATTTTTCAACAATATAACTTACGTCTTATCTAGCGGCCTTTAAGACACCGTTCCTTGAAATAGGAACCTACCCAATATTTCCGCCTTTGTTTCATTTTTTCGGCCTCCTTTTGCTCTTTTGCGGCAATGTACATCGCCATGCCAACTGCAATATAAAGCGTCCTTGGTGTTCAACATTTTGTGCCTTTTAAATTTGACATTTTCCCATTTGTGTTTTTTTTGGTTAGGCCTAGTACTCAGATCGGCTAAGAGTTTCACAAGTCGAAAAATCGTATTCTTTGTAGTGTGACCGAAGTTTTCAAAGTCAAGCAGCTGGGGTTGTTGCCAAACGGAAAGCAAATCAAATGGAGAAATTAAAAAAGGAGGAGTCTGCTGGTACACAAAGAAATTTAATTAAAAACAAGGAAGAACGCTATAGTCGAGTACCTCGACTATCAGATACCCGTTACTCAGCTAAAGGGACCAAAGGGAAATGGAGATATGCAAGCAGCAAACCGAGATTTAAATACGCCACCTACCGGCGGTAGACAGATTTAAGCGTTATGGGCGTTAGAGTGGGCGTGGCAAAATTTTTTTTGGATTAATCGATAGGTATTGACGAGACCAATACATTTCAGTTAAAATTTTTTATCTAGCATGAAAACTGTGGCCGTCACAGGTTTGGGCGGTTTGTGGGCGTTAGAGTGGGCGTGGCAATTTTTTTTTCGGGTCACTCGATAGGTATTGATGAGAAGAATACACTTATGTTAAAATTTTTATTCTACCATCAAAACTGTAGGAGCCACAGTTTTGGGCGGTTTGTGGGCGTAAGAGTGGGCGTGGCACATTGCTGAAACAAACTTGCGCTGCGTAAGAAGCTCAGGAATCTGCACGCCAAATCTCAACAGCCTAGCTCCCATAGTTTCCGAGATCTCAGCGTTCATCCGGACGGACAGACAGACGGACAGACGGACATGGCTAGATCGACTCGGCTAGTGATCCTGATCAAGAATATATATACTTTATGGGGTCGGAAACGCTTCCTTCTGCCTGTTACATACTTTCCGACGAATCTAGTATACCCTTTTACTCTACGAGTAACGGGTATAATAAATGGAATGCTCAACGAATGTTTTCATTTGTGTAAATTAGTAGATTAAAGCTTCCTTCTCGTCCCACGGATGCTTTGCCATCTTTCCCGCTCCACCGCAGTACAGTTCCGAGTCCCAATAGGCATATTGGACCTTGAGGAAGTGGGAGAACGGGGTTGATCCGCTGATTCTGCAAGAAGCCGCCCAGCATACTGGCAGAGGCTGGCTATGGCTTCTCCAACTGTTCCTTAGCGGGCGCCCTATTTTCCTCTTCCCTATAGAAGCCAGCGGGTCCTCCAGCTGCGCCTTAGCTGCCAAGTAGCTGGTGGTCTTGGTGTCCGGAGTCCTAATGAAGAGGTCGTCGGAGATCGTATTACTGGTGGTTCTGCTAAATAGATACTTCTATTAGTACAACGCAATTCTTTTGGCCAGATCTTACTTTCTTTGCGAGGGCGCGACCGGCAGGATGTCCATGTAGAGATCGAAGTCCCACTCGGCATGTTCCTTCCCACTGGGATTCTCTAGTGGATCTCCTCCAGCCCTTCAAGTATTCTGCGAATTTGCCCCTTCTGTGGAATTGCTTCCTGTCGGAGAAATCCCACAATAAAGGGCATAAGCTTGGATTTGGTGTCCTATTTCATCTACTCTAACACCCTGTATCCGACTTTAGGGTTTTCCTTCCATTTTTTATTTGTAGTTTCCACATCGCCTTTGCACAAACACCACCAAAGATTAAATTTCTTATTCTTTGGGCCGCGACTAACGGCGTTCATCGAAAATTCACTCGCGAAATCTGGTATTTTTTCTGGTATTTCCTTAGCTCATCTGAGTACCGCGCTGAAAAACAGACCCGACAAAAAACGTTAGCCGGGTATTTGCCTCTCGCTCACTCCTATGGTTAGCTCGCGGTTTTCGTCGATCTGAGTACTAGGCTTTATCAACAAAAACGTTATTGACAGTAAGACCATGCTCACCTCTGTCACACTCCAAATAATACGATTTTTCGACTTCTGAAACTCTTAGCCGATCTGAGTGCTAGGCTTAAGATAAGCACGTGTACGAAATAGACGCAAAAAAGTGGTTATCACTCGCTGCAGAAAATGGGACCGCACAAGCACATCGATTCAGTAATCCAGTGTTTTATTCAGTACTTTTTTACGAGTTTAAGTAATTTTTGTACATGGCGTTTTGGGTTTTTAGTGATGGAAATGCTTTTAAACTGCAGTGGCGGAGAATGGAAATTGTTGTTGGTGCATACCCAAGGATCTCTCAAACGCCTTTGAGCTCAGCAATTGGTCTCATGAAAATAAATATTGTGTTGCAATTGGAGTCCATAATGGGAGGGACTCTATTGATAGGTTAGGTCGATAGAGCGATAGTTGCAGCAGCGGGATGAATCTGCCGGGCGATTTGGCCATTTGAGGATTAATCCCGATTCGATCTGAGATTACCTTAAATGGCGTTCATGTACCCAATGACCTTATTTTTGGGAGAGGCTATGTAATATGGCGGAGAGGAACGATGATGATCAGCAGATATCAGTATAGTCGCATCCATATTGTCTAACAGGGCAGATGCAGCTGGAAGTTCTAAGATAAAATTTTCGTGCTTAAGCCTAGTACTCACATCGACGAAAACCGCGAGCTAGCCATAGGAGTGAGCGAGAGGCAAACAGGCTGCTAAAGGTTTTCGTCGGGTCTGTTTTTCAGCGTGGTACTCAGATGAGCTAAGGAAATACCAGACAAAATACCAGATCTCGCGAGTGAATTTTCGATGAACGCCGTTAGCCGCGGCCCAAAGAATAAGAAATTTAATTTTTGGCGGTGTTCGTGCAAAGGCGATGTGTAAACTAAATATTAAAAATGAAAGGAAAACCCCAAAATAGGATGCAGGAGGTCAGTGCTGATGAAATAGAACGCCTAATCCAAGCTGTTGCACTTTATTGCGGGATTTCACCGACAGGAAGCAAAACAACAGTGGCAAATCCGCAGAATAGTTTAAGTGCTGGAGGAGATCCACTAGAGAATCCCATTGGGAAGGAATATGCCGAGTGGGACTTGGCTCTCTACATGGACATCCTGCCGGGCGTCTCCTCGCAAAGAAAGTGATCTCCGACGACCTCTCCATTAGTACTCCGTACACCACCACCACTAGCTACTTGGCAGCTTAAGCGAAGCTGAAAGACCCGCTGGCTTCTATAGGGAGGAGGAAAGTGGAGCGCCCGCTAAGGAACAGTTCGAGAAGCCTTAGCCAGCCACTGCCAGGATGCTGGGCGACTTCCTGCAGCATCAGCGGATCAACCCCGTTCCCAATCCGGCTCCCACTTCCTCAAGGTCCAATATGCCTATTGGGACTCGGAGCTGGACTGCGGTGGAGCGGGAAAGATGGCGCAGCATCCGTGGGACGAGAAGGAACCTTTAAACTACTAATTTAGATAAATAAAAAATTCGTTGAACATTCCATTTATTTTTATTTTAATTTAATTGTGTACCAGCAGACTCCTTTTTAAATTTCAATTTTAAACCCAACTGCTTGACAGTAAGACCATGCTACATGCATTGCGGGTGAACTTTGAAAACTTCGGTCACACTACAAAGAATAAGATATTTCGACTAGTGAAACTCTTAGCCGATCTGAGTACTAGGCTTTAATACTAAACAAAAGTGAGTGATGGGAAAGTTAACATGTTAGTATGTTATTTATTAATAATCAATTTTAGGGCAATCATAACATAACATAACATAAAGGGTCCTTGGGTATTTACTTGGGAGTTTGTGAATTTATCCGGATTAAGACCCGAGAGCCTTATTTGTCCTCGTCGTTTACCTAGAATCAAAAAGGTCGCGAGCATTAGTTCAATGGTATTGTTTACAGTGCAGCTACGTACCTTTTGGCCTGTCCCTTCTTTTCCCCAGGAGCTCCTCAGGATTAGGTGAGCATATCTTTTCGCGGCGCCTGTACCTTTTTCCAGCAAAACAAATCATCTGCTTTGACCGCGTAAATATTTAAGACGGCGGCCAAGTATTCGGTCTTAAAGGCTGTGAAAGGATAGATCGGTTAGGAGGAGCAAGAATATAAATGATTGTACTTACCATATTCACTTAACATTTTTAAAACCCACAATGTGCCCAGTGGAGGAGATGGAACCGTCGTAGTCGCGAGGAGGGAGCTCCTGCCGACCGAGAATGGGCGGTGCCCTGCAGCATCTTAAGGGCATCCATGGTGGGTGGCAGCGCGTGGCTAGGTCATCGATAGCCACTAAATTTAATCCATTTATTTACCTTTGCTTACGTTTTTTTGTTCTTGGTAAGCTAAGCACATTTTTGATTAATTAAGTAAAATAAACTAAAATATACTTTCAAACTGGTATAGATTTCGACAAATATTTGTGTTGGCGGCGCTTCGATATGGAGAAGACTTTGAAAGAGCAGAACTGCAATGGTAATTAGAGTAATTAGAACATGAATGTATATGATTTGTAATGTTTTTTTGTCCAATATAGTTGCCTGTCAAGAGGAAGAAGGTACGGTCCCAAATAAGCGGAAGAAATATGGGCAATCTGCTGTATGAAACTATTTTGACAAAAATGTGGTAAAACCTACCAAACAAGTGGCAATATGACAAACTTGTCTTTTCTTTTAGTTCTGTTATTTTTTTCTTATCTTATTGAGTGGAACTTTATACTGTTTTTTATTGTATTTTAAATTGAATTGTGATTAAATTTTAATTTTTGTGTGGAACGAGTAGCTTAAGTTTCACTTTGAACGTGCAGGAATCAAAAACAGAAAACAATGGATATCAAATAAAGCATAATTATTTATAATGAACGTACAGATCTTACACATTGGGTTTATTTGTGGTATTGTTTATAATATTATATGGAGTAAAAGTGTTTTTCAAAATTACACACAAAAAAAAATTCGATGTATCGATGTTATTCAGAAAAGACATCGAAAAATCGATGTAGGTATACATCAATGATTTTCCAGCTCTACCTCCCAAAACGGTTTTCTTTAAAGCCTAGTACTCAGATAGACGAAAACCGCGAGCTAAGTGAGCTAGCGGCAAATACGCGGCTAACGCTTTTCGTCGGGTCTGTTTTTCGGCGCGGTACTCAGATAAGCTAAGGAAATACCAGAAAAAAAAACACATTTCGCGAGTGAATTTTCGATGAACGCCGTTAGCTGCGGTCCAAAGAATAAGAAATTTAATTTTTAACGGTGTTCGTGCAAAGCCGATGTAGAAACTAAAAATTGAAAATGGAAGGAAAACCGGAAAATCGGACGCAGAAGGTCAGTGCAGATGAAATAGGACGCCAAACCCAAGCTTGTGCCCTTTATTGTGGGATTTCACCGACAGGAAGCCATTCCACAAAAGGGGCAAATTCCTAGAATAGTTGAAGTGCTGGAGGAGATCCACTAGAGAATCCCAGTGGGAAGGAACATGCCGAGAATAGAAATATGTTTTTAGCAGAACCAGTAGGATCTCCGACGACCTCTCCTTTAGGACTACGGACACCACCACCACCAGCTACTTGGCAGCTTAAGCGGAGCTGGAGGACCCGCTGGCTTTTATTTGGAGGAGGAAAATAGAGCGCCCGCTAAGGAACAGTTGGAGAAGAAACAGCCAGCCACTGCCAGGATGCTGGGCGACTTCCTGCAGCATCAGCGGATCAACCCCGTTCTCCCACTTCCTCAAGGTCCAATATGCCTATTGGGACTCGGAGCGGGAAAGATGGCGAAGCATCCGTGGGACGAGAAGGAAGCTTTAAGCTACTAATTTAAATAAATGAAAACATTCGTTGAACATTTCATTTATTTTTATTAAAATTTATTTGTGTACCAGCAGATTCCATTTTAAGCGGTTGTGTGCAGAGGGTATTATACATAATTCTAAATTCTATATATATTCGGGGCGCAAAACTAAAACACGACCGTTTACTGTAAGAGCGAAGAACACATTTTATACTGCCGTATTTCTTGTTTGCTTTAGACCTTTTTTATTTTGAATGTGTAAATACATATTTAAAACAAGGAAGAACGCTATAGTCGAGTGCCTCGACTATAAGATACCCGTTACTCAGCTAATGTGATCAAAGGGAAATGGAGATATGCAAGCTGCAAAGCGAGATTAAAATACGCCACCTACCGGCGGTAGACAGATTTAAGCGTTATGGGCGTTAGAGTGGGCGTGGCAAATTTTTTATTGGATCAATCGATAGGCGTTGACGAGACCAATACATTTCAGTTAAAATTTTTTATCTAGCATGAAAACTGTGGCCGTCACAGGTTTGGGCGGTTTGTGGGCGTTAGAGTGGGCGTGGCAATTTTTTTTTCGGGTCACTCGATAGGTATTGATGAGAAGAATACACTTATGTTAAAATTTTTATTCTAGCATCAAAACTGTAGGAGCCACAGTTTTGGGCGGTTTGTGGGCGTTAGAGTGGGCGTGGCACATTGCTGAAACAAACTTGCGCTGCGTAAGAAGCTCAGGAATCTTCACGCCAAATCTCAATAGCCTAACTCTTACAGTTTCCGAGATCTCAGCGTTCATCCGGACAGACGGACAGACGGACATGGCTAGAACGACTCGGCTAGTGATCCTGATCAAGAATATATATACTTTATGGGGTCGGAAATGCTTCCTTCTGCCTGTTACATACTTTCCGACGAATCTAGTATACCCTTTTACTCTACGAGTAACGGGTATAAAAACAATATTGGGCGGTCGATATTCTTTCAAATGGTTTCTTATTTTAATAAATAATGTACGTTGTAGTGCAAAAGGTGTCAGGTCTTGACAAGAAGAACATAAACCTGAAGCTGGTCATTCCCTTAAAAAAAGCATAGAAAATTTATTTACAAGATGAGATCCATTGCTGATTTCCGAGCAGCTGGAAGGCTCATTGGGCCTACAGCAACAACAATTCCCTTATAACGGCGTCACTACAGTTCAAATGCATTTCCTTCTCAAAAAAATCACGAAACGCAAGGTACAAAAATCACCCAAACTCGTAAAACATACAGTATAAATCACTGGAATACTGAATCGACTACATGTGTGGTCCCATTTTCTGCTGCAGCGAGATGTTATTAGTCTGCCATCCAAAAATGGCCGACTTATCTATATTCTGTTTATACAGAGGCTTGTCTGCATCAGAAACAAATTCCGCTTTAGCGAATTTTCCTTCCATTAAATTTACTAGCGGTAGAAAGAGTCGGGTAGGAGTTGACACCACTTCGCTTCAGCGGAAAGTAACATTAACATTATACAGTATTTTTTAAGGTAATTGCTGACTTTTGTTTATCGCGTTGTGGGATTTTTTGGGGAAAGAGATGTATTTTAGCTTCATATTGTTAAAGGAATTTTAAGTACAAATGCCAATTCTCTTAAGAAAAAAATTATTTATGATGGACGAGAATCCCGAAGCTATATCAGACCGTAAACGACGAAAACCTAATGGCTATCTTATTTTTTAAGAAATTGTGAAATCCTTTTGGGCTTCGGTTCGTTGAGACCCATTAGCTCTATGCAATAGCAGTTTTCTGTAGGAACAGCTTTACGCTTAGAATAAATTACTATGTTTATGCTAAGGGTTTCATGATTTCTTGAAAGCGTGAAATAAAATTTGCTCTTGCTTATGCGACGCGGCCGAATTCATGCATTTTATCAATCTCAGCTGACAGAGATGCCGGACCGGTGGAAAAAGGTCTGAGCGATATTTAAACCGAAAATATTTTTCGATTCGTATGAAATAATGTTGCTAATATTAAAGATAAAGTGTGTGCAAGTCAGTATAACATTATTTCTACCATCAAAATAAAAGATAAAAACTCGTTTCCATAGGCACTGAATTAAAAAATAATTTGTCAAAAGTAAGGTGTATTTATGTATTTATATCGATCTGGCAGCTTCGATAATTATATAGAGTTACCGGAGTTTATTTGTGACCATTTCACGCTTTCAGGTTGAATTCATAGTCAACTTTTGTGTGTTCCCGAATTCACGAAATGGCGTTTATGCACACACGAATCGGCTGAAATCGCGAAATGAAAGCGTGAATTCGGCATCGCATAAACACAGTAACTGTTGCAATGTGTATAATACAATGGTAAGGAGATGGTTTTTTGGGGAAACCGCCTCTGCACATAACCGCTTAAAATTGCAACAGCTATTCTTTTTCAAAATGGCTGAAGCAAACAGCTTATCAGCATAAGCATCCGCAGCTTTTAAAAATATGCAAAACAACATAGAACACAATACTATTTCAACGATACCTTGTGGAATGTTTTTGGCTCCAAATACATATTTCATTGTTATTAGCACATTGATCAAGGACAAGAGTTCCATTCAGGCTAGTCAATTGTTGGGTTTCCACAAGTCAGAACCGTTAAGACCCTTTTAAGTATCTATACCACCTTTTGTAAACAACAATTTTTAGACAATTATTGAATATAATATTAATTTGAATTAAGCACATACTTCATGAGGCAGATGCCCATTCTTCTGCACCAGCCATGACATATGTTAGTTAGCCAGAATGCAGATGTACTGGTGATCATCCAGATGCTTACGAATATGAGCGATGTTGTCCACATGAGCGTTGTATAGCTTGAAGATATCATCAAAAATATCGTTTTCAGGGATCCAGAGAGTGATACGTACATTTGATCCGGAAGAGAATCATCGTTTGCTGGACTTACAGGTGTACAACGCAATCTACGCCGTACAGCAAATAGGACGTCTCCACCTCTAGCGCAATGTGTTTTTATAGTATCCCAATCCTTGCGGAAAACTTGATAAAACTTCATTGTCATAAAAATCTACGTTGAGCCAAGTTTAAACTAGGATAATTGCATCGCAGTCACATTTTGAAGTTACCAAGCAGGGAGACTGCGATTTGGTGCGCATACCAGCAATGTTATGGAAATATTACTTAAAGATTAATTGCTTATACATGCCTTATCAATATGGACTGTCCATGATGTTATCCGTTGCAGGGCCCAAGTCCGCTAAAGAGCTATCCAGCTAAGTCACACAACTTCCTTGGGGCTTACACAGAATCTTAGGTAACCTTGAAGTGCGGATAAAAATAGGAAGCTGATCATTAAAGCATGGGTTGGAAACGCAATCCATAGACTCGTAACCGAAAGATTGCGATAAAGCTGAAGAGCGCCAAGTACTATAGAGCATTGGCCGAACTCAAAAATCCTGAGAGAGCGCCTTTTTGAAGTGAAGTAAGTCCAGTCCAGTGAATCGCTTGTCTAAGATGCTATATAGTTTAGCAGCTCCATCTGTGGGTCGGATTAAACCCAGCGGTGGCGCCACCTGTGTCAGGCCTAGAAAGGGTTTTCTAGGATAGTAACAGCGGCAAATGTCCAGCGGCCCTAGAAATTCACCTTGCCCCACGACCGAGGTTACCGGTGGGTCGGCAGCGGCGGATGCTGTCTTTTCTTTTTCGGCAACGGCAGAGTACAGACGTAGTCAACCTCAAGTCAGTTCGCGAGTGACATATATTTTTGCTAAGGAAAATTTTCCATTTGTTTAACTTGCGGTTGGATCGTGCCTAGACTGGTGAGTCTTTGATAGAAAAGGGAATGTTTAGGCAGTTGATTATTGTAGGCGGTCGGGTCTAAGCGATTCGGAAAGTTCCCGAAAAGGCGCTGGGGAAGGAAAGAACAAGCGGATGTGGATTTTGGTGATAAACGCAAGCTGGTAAATCGGCGGCCAAGCAGAAAAGTCGGCGTCCAAGCTGAAAAGTCGGCGGCAGCAGCGTTGGAAAACACACATTACTTAATATATGAAATTTCAACCTAACCTGACCAAATTCTAACCAGTTGCTTGTGACCCCATAGCCCGCGGCGGTACAGGCCATGCATTTAAGAAAAAAAAGGAGAGGAGAGTCCCAGTGCTAGCATAGTTTTTTTTTTGTTGTTTGTGTCGGTGTCGGTGTCCTTTTCCCCTTTTTTGTTTTTGCGAGTTTTCCCCTTCACAGCTCTCATCATCCCGAGGAAAGCACTTTCGTCGACGGATTTGAAACAGTGGTGAGTCAAAATTTTCATTTATTTATTACAAAAAAAGGGAGTAGGAAAGAAATGGAATAAATCGAAGGGTGAGATTTAAGAAGGAAAGATCAGAAGGGACCGAGAGAGCATGAAATTTAAAATTTATGATAACGTCTGAGCGAACCGGGAGAGCATGAGCTAAAAAGCCCGATCGCGTGGATCCTAAGCTCTTTGTTCGCTTCGAGTTTAGTTTTCTTTGCCAGGCGACGAAATTGTCTGAAAATTTTTCCTTAAAATTTGAATTTAAAATAGCAAGCCCTTTTACATCCATTGTGATGCCAGTAACAGCGGAGTAGGTGGTGTTTTAGTTCAAAGGTCTGAGAGTGGCGAAGAGTGTCCAATTGCCTTTTTATCAAAGAAGCTCAATAAGGCTCAGAAAAACTATTCGGTCATGGAACAAGAGTTTTTAGCAGCCATTATTAGCATCAAGAGGTTTCGTGCCTATGTTGAGGGTCACGAATTCACGGTGTTTACTGATCACGCGTCGCTTAAATGGTTGATGACACAGACGGATTTGCATTCTAGACTCGCAATGTGGGCATTAAAACTTCAAAGTTTCAATTTTAAAATCGAGCCTTGCAGTGGCAAGCTCAATCTTGTTCCTGATGCCTTATCGAGGGTAAACGAAGAAGAAGTAGCTGCATTAGAGGCCAGCCACGGGTTGCTTGTAGATTTATAATCTTCCCAGTTCAAAGATCCGGACTATATAGATCTGATCGAAAAGGTTAAAGGTGATGCCAGCAGTCTCCCGGATTTAAAATCAGCCGATGGTTTTGTGTTCCGGAGAAGTGAACACACATCTGGGGAGTCGATCCATGATAATTTTTGTTGGAAGTAATGGGTTCCCTCGGGGTTGGTGCCTGTAGCACTTAAGAATGTGCATGATGACCCGTTATTATTATATTATTATTGACCAGGCTGGGTAAAAGGTGTAAAATAACATATAAGGTCATTTGATACATGCAAAATGAATAAAGCCCCAAACCAAGAGTTGCGACCTCCAATGGGAAAGGCTTCGGAGTCAGCGAGGGCCTTTCAGAAACTTTACATAGATTTCTTAGGACCTTAACCAAGACCCAGAAGTGGTAATATTTTGATCTTTATTGAGCTGGATCACTACAGAAAATTCGTTTTCTTGAAGGCAGTAAAGAAACTGTCGGCAGAGGTAGTTGTGAAGTACATGCAGCAGGAACTTGTTCATGTTTTTGGCGTTCCCGAGACGATTATGTCAGATAATGGATCGCAGTTTAAGTCTGAATCATTTCAAAAATTCCTAAGAGAGTACAAGGTATCTCACACTTTGACGACGGCTTACTCTCCTCAGTCAAATGCCTCGGAGCGGGTAAACCGCTCCGTGATAGCCGCCATTCGATCCTACGTGCGGAGTGATCAGAAGGATTAGGATGAGCAGTTAGTAGTATTTGCTGCGCCCTTACTCGAGCTGCTTACTCGAGCTTAGGGACGTCCCCATACTATATGGTGTTTGGACAGCATTTCACATTGTCTGGGGCCACATACAAGTTGTTAAGAGCCCTCAAATTGCTGGAAGATAAAACGTTGGCGACTCTCTTGAGCTGGTCCGCAGCAAAGCTCTAGAGATAATGAAAAACCAGCTCGAGAAAAATGAGCGAAAATACAATTTAAGGTCAAGGGAGGTATTTTTCAACGAAGGTCAAGAAGTTTATCGTACAAATTTCAAGCAGTGTAATTTCGCAGCTGGCTATAACGCAAAGTTGGGACCAGCCTTCGTAAAGTCACGGGTGAGGAAGAAGGTTGGTCAAGCTTGTTATGACCTCGAGGATCTGCAGGGACGGTATGTAGGGCGCTTTCATGCTAAGGACATAAACCAGTAGAGTCAGGATGACAAGCGTTCTTGGTATCATCCTTGGAGCGTCGACCACCAAGTCTGATCGTGAGGGGGGGTACTTTTTAAAACGCTTGTCTAAGATGCTAGATAGTTTAGCAGCTCCATCTGTGGGTCGGATTAAACCTAGGCCTAGAAAGGGGTTCTAGGAGAGTAACAACGGCAAATGTCCAGCGGCCCTTGAAATTCACCTTGCCCCACGACCGAGGTTACCGGTGGGTCGGCAGCGCCGGATGCTGTCTTTTCTTTTTCGGCAACGGCAGAGTACAGACGTAGTCAACCTCAAGTCAGTGCGCGAGTGACATATATTTTTGCTAATGAAAATTTTATATTTGTTTAATTTGCCGTTGGATCGTGCCTAGACTGGTGAGTCTTTGATAGAAAAGGGAATGTTTAGGCAGTTGAGTTTAGCCGGAAAATTATTGTAGGCGGTCGGGTCTAAGCGATTCGGAAAGTTCCTGAGAAGGCGCTGGGGAAGGAAAGAATAAGCGGATGTGGATTTTGGTGATAAACGCTAGCTGGTAAATCGGCGGCCAAGCTGAAAAGTCGGCGGCCAAGCTGAAAAGTCAACGGCAGCAGCGTTGGAAAACATACATAAACTTTATATATGAAATTTCAACCTAACCTGACCAAATTCTAACCAGTTGCTTGTGACCCCATAGCCCGCGGCGGTACAGGCCATGCATTTAAGAAAAAAAGGAGAGGAGAGTCCCAGTGCTAGCATAGTTTTTTTTTGTTGTTTGTGTGGGTGTCGTTTTGAGTGTCTCCTTTTCCCCTCTTCTTTTTTTTGCGATTTTTCCCCCTTCACAGCTCTCATCATCCCAAGGAAAGCGCTTTCGTCGACGGATTTGAAACAGTGTTGAGTCAAAATTTTCATTTATTTATTACAAAAAAAAGGGAGTAGGAAAGAAATGGAATAAATCGAAGGGTGAGATTTTAGAAGGAAAGATCATAAGGGACGGCCGAGAGAGCAAGAAATAGAAAATTTACGATAACGTCTGAGCGAACCGGGAGAGCATGAGCTAAAAAGATCGATCGCGTGAATCCTAAGCTCTTTGTTCGCTTCGAGTTTAGTTTTATTTGCCAGGCGACAAAATTGTCTGACAATTTTTCCTTAAAATTTCTATTTAAAATGCCCATAAAAAAATCAAAATTTTCGCAAGCACGGCAAAGTCGTACCATTAATAATTTAGGCAATGTCCACCAAGGGGATTTGCGATATCGATCACTAGTTTTGTTGTCCAAATATCTTTAATCTTGTAATTTTAAATTGTCGTCTATTCGTATGGAATTTTATATCGTTTACCGTAGGATAAGTTATGTTTGTATTTTACAATTATTGAAAGGTTTATAATGTGTTTAAAGTAATTTGTGTTGGCCGCGGCTGGCGTTGACTTGCAATGCGACCAATGGTAGGGTGGTGTGAGGAGTTGAATAACTCCCCACAAATAGAAGCAGCAGCAGATGGCCGGCCGCTTACCAGATACGCGGCGAATTCGCGTAGTAACGGCGCGGCGAGGAGATCGAGAGAGTTTGGAGACCAACGAAGGAGAGCGAGAGAGTTTGGAGACCAATGAAGGAGACCGAGAGAGTTTGGAGACCAACGAAGGAGAGCGAGAGAGTTTGGAGACCAATGAAAGAGAGCGAGAGAGATTGGAGACCAAGGATGGAGATCGAGAGAGAATGGAGACTTCGCGGGCAGAGCAAGAGTGCCGTATGCAAAAGGGGATAACGGAACTCCACGGGACTTTGGACTCTCCCGTGAACTTTGGACCGGGAGAGGAAGTGCCACATCTCGGCAGTTGAGCGGCACACAGGCGTGCCACAAGCGGCCCGCGAATCAGCGGGACTGCAGCAGTGGGCGGAGCATCGAGTGAAAGCGGTACGTGAAGGAGAAGTGGGTCATCCAGGAGGCACGGACTTTGGACCCAGAGTGGAGAGATCCAGCGGGCCGTGCGCA